GGACATTTAATAATGAACAGGCCAAGGTGGCGTTCGTCATAACTCTGTTGACCGGGAAAGCTGCGTTATGGGGAACGGCGGTGTGGGAGAATCAAGACCCATGCCTCGTTCCAGACACTCTCCGCGGAGATGAGACGGGTCTTCGACCGAGCCGTCGCGTGGAGAGAGGCCGCTAGGGTGTTGGCCGACCTGCGTCAAGGTGAGAGGTCGGTCTCGGATTATTCCATCGAGTTCCGCACCCTGGCGGCCGAATGTCATTGGAACGAGGAGGCGCAGTGGGACACGTTCCTGCATGGGTTGGCTGACCGCGTCCAGAGAGAGATCTACGCCCTGGACCTCCCCACGTCGTTGAACGGGTTGATCGAGTTGGCTCTGAGGGTGGACGCTCGACTTACTAGAGCCGGAGGTAGAGTCTCGTCTATCCGACCTCCAGGAGGAGTAGAGAGTCAACGGTCCAGCGGCAGGGACGCGGTCAGCCCAATTTTCGATCACGAACCCATGCAGGTGGGTCGACCTCGGCTTTCCCAGGAGGAGAGGGAGAGGCAGAGGTCCCAGGGCCTTTGCCTATACTGTGGAGGTGCGGGACACTATGCTTACAACTGCCCGGTAAAAGGCCAAGCCCGATAGTAAGTATGAGGCTACTATCGGGTGGGATCTCCGCCGAGAAGACCTCATCCACATCTACCCTCTTCCCGGTAAGACTGAGATGGTCAATCCACCAGCACGACTGTCGAGCACTTCTGGACTCTGGGGCGGAAGGTAATTTTATGGACAGAACTTTTGCACACAGATTTCAGATTCTCCTCAAACCACTCACACAGAAGATTGCAGTACACGCTCTAAACGGTCAAGAACTTCCCACCATTTCTTTCACCACTGAAGATATCACTCTCATTACTTCAGGCAATCACCCAGAGACTATTTTTTTTTTTACATATTGGATTCACCCCTGGCACCCATCGTTCTCGGACATCCCTGGCTTATCCGTCACAACCCCCGAGTGGACTGGCATCAGAAAGCTGTATTGGAGTGGAGCAAGGGATGTCATAAGTCTTGTCTAGTGTCTGCTTGTCAGTCTGTGCCTGTTTTTGTGTTTCAGGAGGAGGCAGGGGATTTGTCTAACGTGCCCGAGGAGTACCACGATCTGAAGGAAGTGTTCAGTAAGTCTCGGGCTGCTTCTCTGCCTCCGCATCGTCCCTATGACTGTGCCATAGATTTACTGCCAGGTAAGTCTCCGCCTAAGGGCAAGTTATACTCGCTTTCGGTCCCAGAGAGGGAGGCCATGGAGAAATATATTTCTGATTCTCTAGCAACCAAGTTCATCCGTCCTTCCTCTTCTCCAGCGGGGGCGGGGTTCTTTTTTGTGGGGAAGAAGGATGGGTCTCTGCGACCTTGTATTGATTACCGGGGGTTGAATAACATCACGGTAAAGAATACTTATCCTTTGCCGTTGATGTCTTCAGCCTTCGAGAGGTTGCAGGGAGCGTCCGTCTTCACGAAATTGGACTTGCGTAACGCTTATAATTTGGTTCGCATTAGGGAGGGGGATGAATGGAACACTGCTTTTAATACCCCCAGGGGGCACTTTGAATACTTGGTCATGCCTTTCAGCCTGTCCAACTCCCCAGCAGTCTTCCAGGCACTGATCAATGACGTGTTGCGAGACATGATTGATCAGTTCATATATGTCTACCTGGATGACATATTGATATTTTCCTTGTCTCTCCAGGAACATGTGCAACACGTCCGACGAGTGCTTCAGAGGTTGTTAGAGAATGGGCTTTTTGTCAAGGCGGAGAAATGCGATTTTCATGCACAGTCTGTTCCTTTCCTAGGGTACATCATTTCGTCTGAGGGAATGCGTGTGGACCCTGAGAAGGTTAAGGCTGTGGTAGAGTGGCCAAGTCCAGATTCCCGTAAGGCCCTACAGAGGTTTCTGGGGTTCGCCAATTTCTATCGACGTTTTATTCGCAATTTCAGCCAACTAGCCACACCTCTGACTGCCTTGACCTCCCCCAGAACTCCGTTCAGGTGGTCAGATACAGCCGAGGCTGTGTTTGCCAAACTCAAGAGCCGCTTTGTTTCAGCTCCCATCCTCGTTGCCCCTGATTCTTCACGTCAGTTCGTGGTGGAGGTCGATGCGTCGACAAGATGCATCCCTGTGCGTTTTTTTCTCATCGTTTGTCCCCAGCTGAACGCAATTACGACATTGGTAATAGAGAGTTGTTGGCAGTCAAGTTAGCGTTGGAGGAATGGCGTCATTGGTTGGAGGGTTCGGGGGTACCTTTTATCGTCTGGACCGATCACAAGAATCTAGAGTACATCAGAACCGCCAAAAGACTGAACTCCAGGCAGGCTCGGTGGGTACTTTTTTCGGTCGTTTTGTTTTTTCCCTCTCGTACCGCCCGGGTTCCAAGAACATCAAACCCGACTCTTTATCTCGCATTTTTGATCATTCCGAACGCCCGTCTACTCCCGAGTGCATTTTACCGGAGACCCTATTTGTTTCCACACTCGTATGGGAGGTCAAATCGAAGGTCAAGACGGCCTTAGAAGGGGTAATGCGTCCGCCCGGTTGCCCACCGAATCGTTTATTTGTGCCGGAGGGATTACGGTCTGACGTGATCCAAAGGGGTCATAGCTCCAACGTGGCTTGTCATCCAGGAGTCAATCGTACTAAGTTTTTAGTAAAGCAACGATTTCGGTGGCCCATTATGGCTCGTGACATTCACAGTTTTGTTTTGGCTTGCTCGGTTTGTGCCACTGGCAAGACTTCCAATCGACCTCCAGATGGGCTCCTTCAACCGCTGCCTGTCCCTTCGAGACCCTAGTCCCATATCGCTCGAGATTTTATCACCGCCCTCCCACCCTCCCAGGGTCACATGGTAGTTTTGACCGTGGTGGACCGGTTCTCGAAGGCGGCTCACTTTATTCCCTTACCCAAATTACCCTCAGCTAAGGAGACAGCATTGACAGTCGTTGACCACGTGTTTCGCTTACATGGCCTCTCGATGGACGTGGTCTCCGACAGAGGAGCCCAGTTTGTGTCCAAATTTTGGCAAGAGTTTTGTAAGTTACTGGGAGCGACGGTTAGTCTGTCCTCAGGGTTTCATCCCCAGAGCAATGGCCAAACCGAGAGAGCCAACCAAGATTTGGAGAGAGTGTTGCGATGTTTGGTTTCCAAGAATCCTTCCTCATGGAGCCAACAACTGTCTATGGTGGAGTACGCCCACAACACGTTGCCAGTGTCGGCCACGGGCCTATCTCCGTTTGAGTGTAGTTTAGGTTACCAGCCACCTATTTTTCCCAGTCTGGAATCCGAGGTCGCGGTCCCCTCCGCCCACGCCTTAATCCAGAGGTGTCACCGCACTTGGACTAGAGCCCGTGAGACTCTACTCCAAGTGGGGGCGCGCACCAAGGTTAAGGCCGATCGCCACCGGTCAAAGCCTCCCGTATACGTCGTTGGTCAAAAAGTGTGGCTTTCTACGAGGAACATTCCTCTCCGATCCGTCTCCAATAAACTTGCTCCCAAATTCATTGGCCCGTTCACTGTCACCAAGATCATTAGTCCGGTGGCAGTCCGCCTTAGTTTACCTCCGGCGTACAGGAGGGTTCACCCTGTGTTTCATGTTTCAAAAATCAAGCCCGTGTTTCATGCTCGCATTAATCCGCCAGTTCCGGTCCCCCCCCCCCTGCCGCGTCTCGTAGATGGGGATACCACCTATTCGGTAAATCGTATTCTGGATTCTAGGCGGAGGGGGCGTGGATTTCAGTACTTGGTGGACTGGGAAGGTTACGGTCCGGAGGAGAGAAGTTGGGTACCTGCTAGAGACATCCTGGATCACTCTCTGATCGATGATTACAATCGACAGGTAAGGGAGTCTGGGAACGCCTGGAGGCGTTCCTAGGAGAGGGGGTACTGTCACGGTATACAAATTCATTGTTTCCTTCTCGTCTCGTGTTGATGTTGTTGTATGAAAGCACGTGTGTAGTGGGTGTGACTGAGTGACATTCCTTGATCCGCTCCAGCTGTTCATCATTCCATCACCAGCTGCAGCCGATCTCATCACACTATATATACTCACCGTTTTCTCATCCCCTTTGTCAGATCGTTGGTTGATGTCTCTCGTGTGGTGTTCCTGTCCAGTCTTCCTGCCATTCCCGTCGTCGTGTTCCCGTGGATTCGTTGTCTTAGTGTTGGATTATCGTTTCGTGTCTGCACTTCACGGATTCTTCACTTCACGGATTCTTCACTTCACGGACTTCTCACTTCACGGATTTCTCACGCTGGCCATCTAGTCCCTGCGTCATCTGTCCACGCCCGTGTCATTTATCTGTTCCTTGAGTTTCTAACCAATAAACCTGAGTTACCTGCATTTGCTTCCTGTATTGTTTGACGATCATGACAATGTAGCCCTGGTAAACAAAAAAATTGTATGCCCAGTATAGAAGAAAATTTGATGACATTTTAAAGGTTTCGATAGACATTATTTGCCATGATTCATGTAATGCAACTCATCTTCTATACATTGTTAAAATGATTATCATGATAAGTTATCACAACTTTTTATCTTTTGTCAAATCAACTTGGATAATTAATGTGGGTCAGATAACATAATATTTTGAGTTTCTATTTATTAAACCAATCTCCTTCATTGTATTAACTAATTTTTTATTTCAATGAACTCAAAATTAAGGCAACCAGGTCACTCACTTTTTTAACAATACATTTTTACAGTGCAGTGACATATAGCAGTTATCACAACTTTTTATCTTTTGTCAAATCAACTTAAATAATTAATGTGGTTCAGATAACATAATACATTACATTTCTATTGATTAAACCAATCTCCTTCATTGAATTAACTCACATTTCAATTAACTCAACATTAAGGCAACTTTTTTAAGTTAAACCAACAGCATTTTTTTTACAGTGATGTGGTTTGCTTTTGTTTTTCATGTTTAATGTTACAGGAGTATTGTAGAAATAAGGGACTCACCGTCAGGTTTTGGAAAAGCTGTTTGACAGCTTGAACCTCTGTGTTGCTGCTGGGGATTATTCTGAATACTTGATCACTGCAGAAACAAAGCATTGCAATTATTGTAAAGTATGCACTGGCACAGGAATCAAATCAAAATGCAGGAATAAAACAGTCTTTTTTGACTGAGTAAATGATTGTATGGTTATATAAAACCAATTAATTTCTATTTCACCATGATTATTTAATCAGTATGCAAATGTTTAAGATTTTTTTAAAGTCCCCTTGTAGTCAATAACTTTATCCCTTAAAGGGATACTCCACTTTTTTTTTGGAAATAGGCTCATTTTACAACTCCCCCAGAGTTAAACTGTTGAGTTTTACCGTTTTTGAATCCATTCAGCCGATCTCCGGTTCTGGCGGTACCACTTTTAGCATAGCTTAGCATACATCATTGAAGTGGACAAGACCATTAGCAATTCTAAAAAAAAAATGACCAAAGAGTTTCGATATCTTTCCTATTTAAAACTTGACTCTTCTGTAGTTACATCGTGCACTAAGACTGACGGAAAATGTAAAGTTGCGATTTTCTAGGCTGATATGGCTAGGAACTATACTCTCATTCCTGCGTAATAATCAAGAAACTTTACTGCTGTACCATGAGTGCAGCAGGCGTAATGATATGACGCAGCGCCTGGCCACCTTCCGTCAACACAACGGAACTATTTTCAGGCGCTGCCTCATATCGTTACGCCTGTCGGAAACGATTTTCCATCGTTTCCCAATGACGCAAGTCGTTTCACATCGTGCTTTTGATCAGCGCAGTCGGTGGAGAGCAACTGCGCGCGACTGCAGAATCCGACACGTGCGCCTTGCGGTCGCGAGAGTTTTTTGACATACGTCGGCATGACATCAGAGCAAGGTGGACCGCACTCGGACACATTTCTAACCGGCATGCATCTCGGGCTGATCACCGGTGATCGGTTCTGCGCAGATTTTGCTCATCTCAAACAAGCCTATTGATATGCTAAAGAAGTACGTTGAAGTGATTGGTTACAACGTAGTTTGTGTGGCCAGAAACACCAGCGTTTTCAAATCGCGTTTTTGAGACTTGTCTTTTTATCACTGCAGTTTTAAGGAGAAAATCCTCAATGGCGTTGACTTTGACATTGAATTTGCACATGGTTTATCTTAAAGCACATTAAAAACACCACATAGACACATAAACAACATTAAAAACTTGTTTTTCACCAAAGGGGGACTTTAAGAAATTAATACTTTTAATCAACAAGGATACACTAAATTGATCAAAACTAAAAATATTTATAATTTACAAAGGATTTTAAAATTTCTATTCAAATATCCGGAAGAAAATGCATAACAGTTTCTACAAAAGTATTAAGCAGCACAACTGTTTTAAACATTGCTCAAAAATTCCCTGAAAATCACAGAATTTTGAAGAAAATTAGCAGTCAGTGTGAGTCTATGGGACTTTTTTGCCCATTATATTGTCTACCGAGAGAAAATCGTAAGATAAATATTAGCTCAACTATTCTGAACAAGCTACATGATTTGGGGTTTGATTTATGTTTATAGCAAAACATGTCATGCTGAAGTTTAATAGGGGATCGTTTGAATCCTTAACTAAGTAGGCTATGAGTAATAGTAGGCCTACCAGTGATTGATGTTAAAATTTCCAAGAGTGACACAGCCAGCAGACAGTTTTATTGAGCCAGCTAACACATAAAGGCATTTCTGAGGGTTATTTTCTCTGAAACGGTTCAAAACACACCAAATATGACCTCATTACATCACTAAAAGCAATCTGCTATTTTTAGGCTTTGAGTAACGCTGATGCTCCAGGTTACATTCTCCTTTTTTGAGGTGTAATTGTATGAAGCAGCTCCATTCCAGCTCTATCATTACACAAGAAAGCCACAAAAATGGTCTCAGTGCATCAATAAGGACGTCATCTCCCACTAATGGTATAAGCAGAGGAAATTGTGCTTGACGCCACACCTGTAATGTCTTTGTGTGTGGTATTTTGTGTCTTGGATGGTATTTCCCACAGAATCTTTATTGTGTGGTGTCATGCAATATCTGCGTGTGCTGTAAATAAATAAAAAAAACCTCCTCAGCTGCAGGGTACAAGGTTCTTCATGCTCTCATTTATTTTGCTGACTATATAGTGTTCTTCTTGTGGCATTTCTTTCTCCAATTCGGTCTGTTTTAGTGTTTCCTGTTGGTTGTTCCTATTTCCTGACTTCGGCCCTGATATTATATAGTGAAACATCCGAGACCTTCTCTGTCTGATGTCACCTGGAGAGTCAATCACACATTGGTGTGTGAATGTGTGAGGAATGATGTTATTCCTCTTGGCTTCACAGCCTCACATACGTGAAGAGGTGTTGATTGGTGCGTTTTATAGCCCAATGTAAAGCATCCATCTGATGGAATGGAGAAAAAAACAATGACCGACCCTATACAGGACAGGAATTTATAGCACCCTACTCAGTAAAAACTGCTAACTGATGGGACGTTGAAATTTTAACCTGGGGGAAAAAATCTTAGTAAGCAACACTTATTAAAAGTCATGCTGATCAGAAAATTAATTTCATTATTTAGTTATTTACACACACTACTGTTCAAAAGTTTGAGTTTAGGTCATAGGTTTCCACAAAAATATTAAGCAGAACAACTGTTAATAATAATCAAATCAGCATATTAGAATGATTTCTGAAGGATCATGTGACATTGTAGACTGGAGTAATGATGCTGAGAAATCATATTTGCCATCACATGATGAATTTCAATTTTAAATATTAAAACAGTTATTTTAAATTGTAATAATATTTTAATGTTTGTATAATATTTCTGATCAAATGAATGCAGCCTTGGTAAAGTATAAGATCATCCCACACAAAAACATCACAAAAAAATCAATCAAAAACATTCGAAACATCACATGGGTTGAGATTGTCATATCTATTACATTTCAGATAACCGCAGGGAGGAAGTGTACTTTTCATTACTCTGTTTCTCTTAATGTTCTGACGGGACATTCTCATTCTGATCGGGTTAGCATTTATATCACTCCCTGACAAGTAGAAAACAAGTGTTTTCACCTCTTTGGGAATTGATTTGCTTCCTTGCATTGACTAATTCGTAAATGATGCTATAAAAAAAAATGAAATACTGCTTAACATTAATATACTGATGAAATTAGGTCGGTGTCTGTATAAAGTGGAAATAAAAATAAAGTAGGAACATTTTTACTTTTTGAAAGTTAAATCTTATTTTTACATAAGGAAAGTAGAGCTGTCATAAGTAGAATAGCAGTAGAAGCCCAGACTCATTAAAAGGGAAAGATGAAAATTTACCCCATATTCACAAAGAATCTCTCATATGTTACTCACTCTCATGCTGTTTCAACCAGTGTATGACTTTCTTTTCTCCGTGGAACACAAAAAGAGATGTTAGGCAGAATGACAACCTCCATTCAGCATTCACTTTCATTATGTGGAAAAAGATGTAATGAAAGTATGGTGACTTTTATTTCAGGTTCTCACATAAAGGCATATTAGTATGGAATGCCATAAGATTATGACAGAATAACATTTTTATGGAGATTTTACTTAACAAGAGCAATTTCTAGCTAATGATAGTTTATAAAACGGTATGTTCAATAACTGTGTTGGGGATAACGCATTACAAGTAATGCGGGTTATGAAATCAGACTACTTTTTTCAAGTAACTATAACACGCTACTTTTAAATTTACAAAAAACTATATCTGAGTTAGCCTACTTTTACAAATAGGTAACTCGAGTCACTTTGTTTACCTATTTTTTCACTGACACCTCTCCCCTCCCCATGTTGAGAGAAATCGGGAGTAAGTGCAGAGGCGTTGTGTGTAAACATGATGATGGTTATAGTTAGTTCTAGACTCAATGCGAGCATTCATTTACTCGTCACTTGCACAAAAACAGAGTATTCCCCAAAATGAAGAAAAACTGTGAAATACTCAGAATATTAGACAAACCTGCATTAATTAAATATGTTAAAAAATACAAAACACGTTGTATTTAATCTCACTTTATTAACTGCTGACTTTTGATCCTATTAACCATAGCAAACATTACTTTAGTAAAACATCACATTTGTGTTTAATTTTCTATTGCTGAAGTAAGTGTGTGGAACTTTCTACTCCTGCATTCTATTCTTCTGGAATCCAGAATGGCAGCCCAGATGAAAGGTTTGTTTGAGCTGCACCTTCTACTGTACAGACGAGAATTTGCATTTCCTTCAGTCTGAGGTTTATTCATTTAACTTTTAGTGTAAAAGAGCCTTTACATTAGTTCAAATTTAAATATGTTTTAATTATGAAACAAGCAAGCAAGCCCAGCACAGGTAAGAAAAAGTAATGCAAAAGTATAACGTAATGCATTATTTTTCATCAATTAGTTAATTTTTTTTAGGGAGGAACGCAATTGTAACGCATTACTTTTAAAAGTAACTTTCCCCAACACTGTTTATTGTTCACTAAAAGGCCTACTTTTCCATGACTTTTAAAAACTGAATTAATTTGAACAAAATTTTAAGGCCTGGAATCATTTTTAAAAGAAAAATTCCTATTATAGATATTCCATGACTCTGGGAATCCTGTGGGATGGACTTCAGAATAGAGTGTTGGATGTAAAACGATCCAGTTCAAGTGTGACATTTCCACAATGAAAATCTAAAAAACGGTCAGTGGTGATGATAAGAGATCCACCATAAGCATAAGTGCAGCATATCTGCCATAACATTCAATTTAAAATTCACTTAGGCCTATATATCAAATAATAGGCTACTTTTTAATAGGCTATCTCTGATATCAGATTATCAAACCACCTGGTAATCTACCAAAAATAAACAAAAGATCACACATTAAATGTTTCTTAAATTGTCATTCTGCGTCCATTGTGATGTTCAAGTTCTTTGCACTTCGTGCTTATACCTGTCGAGACCAACTGCATACTTTAAGATTTCACTTAAGGAGTGCTTTTCAACCTCAGCAAAGGAAAAAAACTTGGCACGCTGAAACTGCTTTGTTTTATAAAGCCAGTGTTGACATAAGAAGAGACAGACTGATCTCTAGTCTTTATTTGCGGAGGCGCAGAGTGCACTTCAATGATTCAAAACTATTTTGCTAGCCTACTCCCCCTGGTCCGTACGCCCTGGATTCTCGCTAAATAAATATTCATTTTAGCGAATCGGTTCATTATTCGGATAATTATTTTTGAACCAACAGACTCGGACTCAACCTAAAGTCACCGGGTGCGCTTTTTACACGTTATTTTATGTAATCACAAAAACATTTAGTTAAAAACTATAATTTATCGCTATGTGTTTAATTATGTTATGTAGGCTATATTCTGTGTCTACGTGGGCGAATTACAAAATTCACGAACGTTCAACTGTTCAATACGATTCGTTCGCGCCCGCTTGCTATTTGAACGAGTGCTCTCACACTACAACTGTAGTTTAAAAAACTTTGAATGAATGAAACACTTACCCGACATAACGGTTGTTGTAGAGATAAGAGTCAACAGGATAGAGCACGGTGCTGAAAATGATAACACATCCGAATAAAACCGTACTGGACAAGTCTGTGATTGTCAATGCCATATTAAGGTAGGCTATTATAGAAATAAACGGCGATTCTGCAGCAGTTAATCAGAGGCTGAGCTGTGCATATGGATCCTGAATGGAACTCATCACAGGGTAAGGAACTGTGAGACTTTTCTGTCCTGTTTGTCCACTCCTGGGACTTTTTCTTGAGGTAGAGGTGTGAAATCATTCATGTGGGAATTCTGGTGGTATCCCGAGTCTTTTAAAGTGTTTTTGGAAGTGTGGTCACGTGACGTGGGGTGTCAGAGGGGTTGGGAACCGAATCCCTGCTTTGGAGTGAGATCAGTGGAAGTGCTCAAGTTTATATTAAGAGCGGAATTCTGCCTGGTCACGGTTGATGTCATGGATGTCATGGATTTTTATTTGACTTTTTAAGATAGGTTAAGATAGGCTACACATAATTAACTAACTAGATTTTTTTTTAAATTAAACACACACACACGCACGCACACACACACACACACACACACACACACACACACGTTGTGTTTTCATGTTTTATGGGACATAATGATTTTTATACCTACAAACTCTATATTCTATTCTCTTACACTAACCCTAAACCTTCCCAATCACAGAAAACTTTCTGAATTTTTACATTTTCAAAAATCATTACTTATGATTTATCAGCTGTTTTCCTCATGGGGACCAAAAAATGTCCCCAAACAAGGATTTCAGATATTGCCATCTTTGTGGCATATTGCCACATTTTGTCCTCATAGGGTTTACCAGCCCCCCCTACACACACACACACACACACACAGAGAGAGAGAGAGAGAGAGAGAGAGAGAGAGAGAGAGAGAGAGAGAGAGAGAGAGAGAGAGAGAGAGAGAGAGAGAGAGAGAGAGAGAAAGAAAGAGAGTGTTCTGAATGGTTTTAGCATGTTACTATGCAAATTACTTTGGTGAATGCTTACTGGTCCAAGTAAAAAGAGCCCACTCCCAAGTTTCTATGAAATTCTGGACAATGGACATGGCTCAGGTCTCTCCTTCAATGTATGTCTGCTGGTTTTATAATCTACCAGGCTAATTATATTATAAAATATTATATATAGACGAAAACAGCACATTACATTTTATGCAATATGCGTGTAGACTCTAGAACCAATTATGCTTATTAATTCTTCCTTTATTCATCCTATCATCCCAGAGATGCCTTTTAAGAGGTATAGCAACTGGCATTTGTTTTGAGTATAGCTCCCTCCAGCTCTTTGCGACTCCCGTTAATTGTAGCCACAGCATTCCTCTGTTTGATTCTGTATTTATCAGTCTGTAGTGCGGTTAAAGGTCTTGAACCAGCCAGGCTTTGTAATTGCATGGTAGCAGCACATTTTTCAAATGCTTCCCCCTGTGTTAACACTCCGCCACCTGTTTTACACCCAATTACTGTGCAACAAATTACCCTCGCAGACAGGCACTGACAGGAACGCTGATCCTGGAAAAGCTGGTCCTAAGTGGAAAACGAAGACTTCGGAGGAGAATTCCCAGGGAATGTGGTGTGCAAAAACTTTTAATAAAACTTAAAAATCGATTTTCTTGCATTGCACATTTGCATTTTCAGGCATTTAATTACTAGCTATGGCATCTTCTAACTAACTTCAAGAAAGCAATTATCATTTAACTGCGACTTAAATTTCACGCTTGTCTTAATTGCTGATGTATACCATCATTTTTGTCCCCAGTAGCCTGCATAAATCGCCCACCACATTGAAAAGAATCATACAACTCCTGCGTTCAGCAATAACAAAAATAACCGTTTACCAGCTTCCCCACATGTGCTGCCCAACAGAATCATATTTCTGACCTGTGGTTGAGTTTTGCACTCAATAAAAATAGCCCTGAAGTGTTTTTGAGGAATATGGACAGGTTGACATACAGTAGCATATTCAAGACTTGGTTCCCAAACGGAGGAGATCGTGTTCATGGTTTGTGGAGGACCAGGGGAGTTTAAATAAATAAGTAGGGTGGGCGGTGAAGACTGAAGGTGGTTTGTTTGGGCCTCTGATTGCTGGGATGCTTTAAGGGGCCGTTTGAAACACCTTTATAGCTTTGTGGTAGTAAAAGACAGCCAAGTACTTCAAGCTTAGAGGTTTGGAAGTAATACATCTTATTACTTGGATGTATTTCTGAACAGGGTATACTGATGTTGTATTGCTGTTGTTGCAATACATGCATGCATGCTTGCAGTTCATTCAGCTAGCCTATGTTTTGGATTGCAGATGAAATGGCAAGTCATGCAAACACTTCCTTGTTTACAAATAACAGATGCAATATATATATATATATATATATGATTCCAAATCCAATGATTTTATAATACATTTTGGAATAATATTTGGAAAAGTTTGATAAATTATGTAATTTTAAGAATAAATCATTACAGAAACATTTTTAAAAACAGTTTATATTATTATATATATAAAAAAAAAGAGTCTAAAAGGAATTCTTTCAAAAAATCTCAGCTCATATGAATCATTTGCTCGAAAATCAAAGTCTTATGATTATTAGCTTGTATTAGTGCGCTTTGTGTTTTTGATTTACTAAAAAGAACTGACACATTACATTCATTCGAGACTCTAAGGGAATCTTTTCAAAAGTTCTCAGTTCATATGAATAGTTTGTTCAGGAATCAAAGTCTTGTGATTAATTCGAGAAATTATGTTTTAAGTCTTGCGATTAATGCTAGAATTAGTACGCTGTATGTTTTTGATTTACTAAAAAAGAACCGACACATTATAGTCATTCCTTCGGGAATCTAACTGGTCACATTTGGATTTCCCTAAAGAGAATCCTTTCAAAAGATCTCATATGAATCATTTGCTTGGGAACTTTTTTTCACTAAAAAGAATTAGCTCAGAATTATTGTTCAGAAGTCGGAAATCACTAAAATGGTTCATAAGAGTAATTCGTTCGGGAATCATACTATAAAAGATACAAATGTGTGTTTCACTAGATTCGTTGAATCTGCGTCAGAGTATTTAGTTTGGTTTTGAATGCGTCTGTGAGAAATGTTAATGGGACTAACTTTATTTCCGGTATTTAAAAAGGCGACACTTCAACTCAAATGCATAAGTTGCAACTATATGCAAACCCAGTTCATTCACCCACTAAATGGGGTCTTTATTTGTCAATTCCTGACCAAGTATAACTTTGGTTTGTGCTGGTTCCTTTACTCTGTATAACACACGTTCCACAGACATTTATTTGGTGAGACCTTAAATCTGTTCATTCTTTTATTACCTGCCATATATCTCAGTCAGAGTGAAGCTTGTGTGAAGTCATTATGTAATAGAAACCAGCAAGTGAAGCCCTAGTGCTAAAACCGATAAAAGGTCACTGTCTCAGAAAAAAGTGAAAGCCACGGGCGAGAACCAAATGAAAACACATTTGTATCATCTTCAAACAGCCACAATAGGGTGACATCATAGTTGTGAGGAACTGGTCTATGATTTATTGGGAGATTGGGCTTTGTTGTAGAGCTGCACATTTCTCACTCAAGATCTGTGTCCCATTAAGCTTGAGAGAGAGAGAGAGAGACGTTTAAGAAGAAGAAAATATATCAGAAAGACAAAACCAGCATTAAATTACCTGTGGAGGAGATAGACAATTTTCTTTCTAGAGATCCGTCCCTCCCACTCCTTTTACTGATCTTCCCGCTCAAGTGGAGACAGATCTTCTGTCATTATCTGCTGCTGAACCTCAGAAGATGAAAGCAGAGTTAAAAAAAACACATGATTTCAGACACTATAATTCTTAGGAAAGGTACATGTTTGCTCCCTATATAACATGTTTTAATTCAACCATTGGGCGTATCCTGATTTATAGCATTGCTATTGTGTTTCAGATTGTTTTTCTTTTTGTCATTGAAGGAACAATAAGTATGGCCCACTGGTGTGCTTTTACTGTAGTTGTTTATAGTAACATTTTACATTCATTACTGATGTACAACTGACAATGAACAATACTTCCACAGAATTTATCAGTCTCAGATAATATTGATTTTTACATTTATTAAAACTGTCTGTCAACATTTGTTAATGCACCGTCAACTATAGCATGAACATACAATGAGCAGTTGTATTTTTTATTAACTAACATTAACAAATAGTTCACGACTCATTTTGTTTTTCTGTGATCATATATTTCCTAACTCTAACAATGTTCAAGAAACATCTGGAAAATCTATTTTGGGAGCACTTAAAGGGATAGTTCACCCAAAAAGGATAATTAGCCCATGATTTACTCACCCTCAAGTCATCCTATAGTGTACAGTATATGACTTTCTTCTTTCAGACGAATACAATCGGAGTTATATTAAAAAATGTCCTGGCTCTTCCAAGCTTTATAATAGCAGTGAATGGCTTTATATTTTATCCATCAAAGTGCATCCATCCATGATAAAAGTGCTCCACACTTAATAAAGGCCTTCTGAACTGAAGCAATGCGTTGGTGTAAGAAAAATATCCATATTTAAAACTTTATTGACTAAAATAACTAGCTTCCGGCAGACGGCCGTACACATGTCGACCTATGCCAAAAGAGTAACACTTGACGATGTATGACGTAGATGTAGGAGTAGCGTAAGCTTTGACGCCTCTCGCGTTTCAAACAAATAGGGCTGGGCAACAAACTCAAGCTCCTCCGACATTTCTCTTTAAAAATTTTCGTTTTAGACTTTATCCTCTGGGCTTCCGCGTTCGTCATTACGTTGTGCGCCAAGGTCAAGGGTTAGTCTTTCGCCTTAAAACGATGCGTACGGCCATCTGCTGGAAGCTAGTTATTTTAGTCAATAGAGTTTTATAAAGCTTGGAAGAGCCAGGACATTTTTTTATATAACTCTGATTGTATTCGTCTGAAAGTAGAATGTCATATACATCTAGGATGACTTGATGGTGAGTAAATCATGGGCTAATTTTCATCTATCTTTCATCTATTTCACTATCCCTTTAACTGCATCCTGCATGAAAAAAAACCATGCTTTCACTATTCCTTACTCCCTCCCTGTTGTACCTTATATTCTGAACGATGTCTGAAACTTCGTATTAGTACTTCTCGTGTTTATTGCCTCCTTAAGATGATCCGCTGTAAGTCACTTTGGATAAAAGTGTCTGCCGAATGAGTAGGCCTACATGTTGTTGTTGCACATTCTGCTGATTTTTGTTACAAGGATAATATTTTCAGCTGGCTAACATAGACGAGATTTTGTCCCATTCGCAAAAAGAATGAGCTTAACAAGAACTTAACAT